ACACACACACACACACACACACACACACACATATATATATATATATATATATAATAATAATAATAATATATATATATATATATATATATATATATATATATATATATATATATATATATAAATTTATACATATATATACAAATAATCTGCCCCCGAAAATTGTAGAGCACCCTACTAGCACACAATGATCCATACATGGGCAACTTCTACTATAATCGAGTACGAATCTACATACACTCGCTCATAATGTATGCACATCCCCGATACACTTAGATGGAAAGGATACACCCATCCGAGCTGACTGTGTGGAAAGGTGTGGTTCCCTTCAGTACGAGATTGGGGAAGGAGTTCTATAGCCATTCAGCGGGCTACTCCTGCGCATGGAACGGTGGCCGTGTGCTTTTGTTCGGTGCCTGCTTGGTTAGATGATGGGTTGTTCTTCGTGTGGTGGCACTATCGCGCGCAACACAGACTGGCCAGGTGCTAGCCCTAAAACCCTAAACAACAGCTAGACTAGCACACCTTTGATAGGGTACGCTTCTATACTTAGTGCTGGTGAACAGTACAAACAGAGCTAAAACCTCTCAAACCCCAAAACGGTTGCATACCTGTGCGGAAGTCTTTTTGTGCCGTGCGCAATGGGGCGGGCACAAGAAGTCCAAACCACCGAATCGGATCGGCCTTATTGACACCGCTCTTGTTGACACCGCTTTGGCGTTGTGTTGTGGGGGGATGCTCGGGTTCATTCTCTCCGTCTTCTTGCGCGTCTATGCTTTTCTCATCTGTTTGTGTGTCTCCTGTAATGTGCCAACAATGCCGGGTCAGATTGGTGTCGGTTTAGTGTCCGCTGGTGGTCTTCGGCAGTGGTGTAGTGATGAGAGGTATCAAACTGGCGTCAATAGATGTCCGCATAGCCCCCGCTACAGTTAAGTATCATCCCTACTGCGCGGCGGCGTGCTGATGTGCGTATGCTGCCCCAGAGTACCGCACTTCACAGCCACAACACTACACCGAGGTGTCCACATGTGTCTAAAATATACCAATTACACCCCACACACAGGCCCACCTGTTGCTCTCGAACTGTCATTGGTACTGCGCAGTGGTGTGCCGATGTGCGTGTGCTGCCCCGGAGTGCCTTACTACGCTCCTGTAACACTTTATTGAGGCGTCACTATATGTCTATGACATATTAGCTACACCCCACATAGACCCACCTGATTCATTCGAATTGTCAGTGCTACTGCGCTGTGGTGTGTTCTTGTTCTTGCGTTGCTTCATAGTGGTCTCATTATTCTTGGCTTTATCTGTGGTGTTGCCGGCTGCCTTATCTTGCGAGTCTTCATCTGCGCGTCATGGTAGTTGGGAGATATATTCGACTGACTGCTTGTACAAGAAAATACTCTACTTGATAGGTATTTGAAGTCAGTGCAACACAACAACATACATACAAACATACATACAGACACAGACACGGACAGACACTCACACACACACACATACATATATATATATATATATTTGTGTCTATACAGATATATATACACACACATACACACACACACACACACACACACATATATATATATATACATATACATGCATACATACATACATATACATATACATACTTACACCCACAAGTACATACATACAAACGCACATACATACGCCCGTACATACATAGATACATAAAATACTTACACACACACATACACACACATACATGGATACATAGATACACACATAGATACACTACACACATACACACACACACACACACACACACACACAC